GGTGTGGAGGTAGTAGTGGTGTGAGGTTAGTGGTGTGAGGTGTAGTGGGTGTAGGTAGTGTGGTGTGAGGTGTAGTGGTGTGAAAGTGTATGGTGTGAATGTAGTGGTGTGAGGTGTAGTGTGTGAGTCTAGTGGTGTGAGGTGTAGTGGTGTGAGGTTAGTGGTGTGAGGTGTAGTGTAGTGAGTGTAGTGTGAGTGTCTAGTGGGTGAGGGTTGTAAGTGGTGTAGAGGTTATGTGTGGAGGTGTAGTGGTGTAGGTCTAGTGGTGTGAGGTCTAGTGGTGTGAATGAGCTGTGGGTGTAGTGTTTAGTGGTGTGAGGTGTAGTTGGTGTGAGGTGTAGTGGTGAGAGGTCTAGTGGTGTAGGTTAGTAATGGTGTATGAGGTCCTAGTGGTGTGAAGTGAAGTGTGTGAAGTGTAGTGGTGTGAAGTGTCTATGTGTTTGAGGTCCTAGTGGTGTGAGGTGTAGTGGTGTGTAAGTTGTAGTGGTGTGATGTTGAAGTGTAGTGTGAAGGTAAGTGTGTGGAGGATGTCCTAGTGTTGTGAGGTCGCTAGTGGTGTGAAGTGTAGTGGTGTGTAGTGTGAGGTGTAAGTGTAGTGGTGTGAGTCTAGTGGTGTGAAGGTAGTGTAGTTGAGCAGTTTATATCGTAGGCTTAGAGGCTATGAGTTGTATACTAGTGGTTAAAGAGTCTCAGTGACGTGAGACAGTGATAGTAAGTAGTGTGTAAGCCCTGCCTATGCGATATGTACGCCAGTTTGTAGTGCTGTGTCGAGTTCGACTAGTGTTACGCTGAGACTGAGGAGTTATATGTTGTGTACTCTACTGTCGTGTCAGAGGTGTAGTTTGAATGTTGCAGTGTAGACTGTGCACGTGTCTAAGGATGACCTAGTGTTGAGGTGTCTATGGTGTGAGTGCTGTGGTGTTTGAAGTGTCTAGTGCCCAGGGTGACGCGCTTTTAACTAGTTTCAGGTGTTTGATGTTCGTATGTTGTCCCGTTTTTTGTTGAACTCAATAGGCCAAATAAAAGGTCTAGTGATCAGGTTGTAGATGCTGGAGGTGCACTCTGGTGTAAGTGGAAAGCCAGCCAGTGTACTACACTAATAACAGTTCAGGTGGGTCTGCAAGCCCACGATGACACAGTTTCACCACTCAAAAATAATGTATTAACACAGGCTAATCTATCATCTCTCGTCTGCTCGTCCCTCTCTTCTCTCTGCTCCCGTCTCTTCTCATCTCTGATTTCCCAGGTCTCTCGCAATCCACTCGCTGTTACTTCTGGCGTTCTATTTCTTCCATCTTCAGAGCAACGGGTTAACACGGACTAATTTACCCTCCCGGGTCCTAACTGCCCAGGAACCTGTCCTTCATCCTTGCCAGGCTCTACACTTCCTTAATGCTGCCATTCTCTTTTTCTCTAAGCACCCCACTTGAATTAATCTCACTGACTTTGTTTTTAGTATCCTAAGTAATTACACACAGTTTTCTTCTATTTTTGACAATACACAGTTAACTGAGCTCTAATTGTGATTCATTTAAATTACCATCCTAATTGTACAAAGGTAAATCCTTGAGTGTTAAGTAGTCGTAACCAATAATGTTAAGTTGCCCATAATACTAAGCATAAAGGCTCTCTCTTGCATTCAACCCACTATTGTAAAACAAAATCTCAATGTACTTTTGCAAAGACATAAATAATAATGCCCGTTCACGCCCCCCTCGCCGACGCCAGTATAGTAAGCCCAGTCTGATGCCTGTGCTTCAAGTTCTCCACGACAGGTGCTCTTCACAACCAACTCCAAGACTGGAGCTGATTAACCTTATTTTGTGTATCGTTCCCACTGCTTCAAATTACGTCCTTGAATTTGCATTGATAAAGCCACTGGCGAAACGTCTACAATAAAGATACCTAGATGTTGCACGTGTGTCTAATTGTTCACATGTGCCTCGTTCATCTTGACAGGTGTTCAGTGCCCTGGGTATCGTCTGCTTTAAGCTAGTTTCAGGTGTTTGCATTTTAACGTATTTGTCCCACAGGCCTTTTTTTTCTTGAACTCAAAGGCCAAATAAAAGGTCACGCGTGCTACTCAGGTTGAAAGCATGCGTGGGCACTGGCGTGGCACTCTGTGGGTGTGGGGAACAGGCCCAGGAGCTGCAGGTCACATTCACACAATACACAGCTTCAAGAGTGGGTGTGACAAGGCTCAAGAGACCACAACAAGGTCACGGCCGTCAAAAATAATAGATATTACACAATTACGATCCTGGAGTCTATTGGAGGATGGTTGGGGGGTCAGCGCCCCTGCGGCCCGGTCCATGTCCAGTCCTGGAGGTGGATCAGGGCCTGGTCAACCAGGCTGTTATTGCTGGAGGCGATAGCTTATGTTTTCAATTTCCAGAGAATAAAAACGATGAAGATTACAGTAGACCTAATGGGATGCTGCAGTAGGCCTGCTGGGATGCTACAGTAGACCTACTGGGATGCTGCAGTAGACCTACTGGGATGCTGCAGTAGACCTGGGATGCTGCATAGACCTACTGGATGCTGCATAACCTGGGATGCTGCAGTAGATCTACTGGGATGCTGCAGTAGACCTACTGGGATGCTGCAGTAGACTTGGGATGCTGCAGTAGACCTACTGGGATGCTGCAGTAGACCTACTGGGATGCTGCAGTAGACCTACTGGGATGCTGCAGTAGACCTACTGGGATGCTGCAGTAGACCTGGGATGCTGCAGTAGACCTGGGATGCTGCAGTAGACTTACTGGGATGCTGCAAGTATGAACCTGCTGGGATGCTACAGTAGACCTGGATGCCAGTAGCTTACTGGGATGCTGCAGTAGACCTACTGGGATGCTGCAGTAGGCTTCTGGATGCGCATCCCCTACAGTGATACTTAAATTGGAGATGCTGAGTAGACGCTACTGGGATGGGATGCAGTAGACCTACTGGGACTACTGGAAGACTTATGTGGGATGCTGCAGTAGACCTACCTGGGACTGCGGGGGCAGTATGGCCCTGGGGAAGCACAGTAGACTGTGGAAATTCCTGGCACGTAAGACCTCCGGATGCTAAACAGTACTTACTTGGGATCCTGCAGTAAGACCTCCTGGAGACTGCAGGAAAGACAGTACTGCTGGCAGACCTGGGAAGACAGTCTCCTGCAGCTGGGATGACAGTAGACCTGGGAGAAGCTCCTGTAGACTGTGGGAAGCTGAGTCCCCCCTGCATCCTCTTAGTCCCTTCTAGATGTTTTCGCTTCCTCCTGGCCATGCTTGCGTAGAACCTGCTGTTGAAATTTTCGCTCCACAAAACCCAAACTGTGGATCTCACATACTTCTGATCTCCCCAAGACCTAACTATGCTCCCCCACATACTAACTGTCTGTCTACCCTGAATGCTGCTGTCTCCAAAATCCATCCCCACAATCTCGTCTCCCCCAACATATACAGTCTCCTGCAACAATACTTTCTCCTCCCGACTGAATACAGTCTCCTGCAACTAAACAATACTTTTGGGTCCACTGAAACTAATTCTCCCAACAATCTGTGTGTCTAATACAGTCCCCCAAAGACTTTTGGATACACAGTCTTCCAAACTGTTGTTTACAAACAGTCTTCTGCCAACAATGGGGAGGTCCTCCCCACAATACAGTCTCCCCCAACAATACTGTTTCTCGCCGACTGTAAACAGTCTCCGCAACAATAGTTGTCTCCCTTCCCTCCCCCAATACTGTTTCTCCCCCCTTTCCCCCAAAATACTGTTGTCTCCCCCACTACCTGCCCCCAACAATACTGCTTTCCCCCAAAAGATAACCTCTACTGTTGTCCTCCCCCACAATACTTTCGTCTCCCCAAAAATACTGTTGTCTCCCCACAATACTACTGTCTCCCACAGACAAACTTGTCTCCCCCACAAAACTACATCTTGTTGTCTCCCCCACAATACTTCAGTCTACCCACAATACTGTTGTCTCCCCCAAACAATCCCTGTTGTCTCCCCAACAATACTGCTGCCTCCCAAACAATACTGTGTCTCCCCCACAATACTTCAGTCTCCCAACAATACTATTGTCTCCCCAAAAATTTTTTAACTACAGTCTCCCAACAATACTGTTGTCTCCCCCACAATACTACAGTCTCCCCCCCCAACAATACTGTTGTCCCCCCCAACAATACTGCAGCCTCCCCAACAATACTGTTGTCTCCCCACAATACTACAGCCCTCCCCAACAATACTGTTGTTTTCCCCCCACAATACTACAGTCTCCCCAACAATACTGTTGTCTCCCCCACAATACTACAGTCTCCCCAACAATACTGTTGTCTCCCCCACAATACTACAGTCTCCCCAACAATACTGTTGTCTCCCCCACAATACTACAGTCTCCCCAACAATACTGTTGTCTCCCCCAAAACAAGTTAACTGTTGTCTCCCCCACAATACTAGCAGCCTCCCCAACAATACTGTTGTCTCCCCCACAATACTACAGTCTCCCCAACAATACTGTTGTCTCCCCCACAATACTGCAGCCTCCCCAACAATACTGTTGTCTCCCCAACAATACTGTTGTCTCCCCAACAATACTGCAGCCTCCCCAACAATACTGTTGTCTCCCCAACAATACTGTTGTCTCCCCAACAATACTGGTCTCCCCAACAATAACTGTTTGTCCCCCCAACAATACTGTTGTCTCCCCAACAATACTGTCCCCTCCCCAACAATACTGTAGTCCTCCCCAACAATACTGTTGTCTCCCCAACAATACTGTTGTTCCCCCAACAATACTGTTGTCTCCCCAACAAAAACTGTCTTGTCTCCCCACAATACTAGCCTCCCCAACAATACTGTTGTCTCCCCAACAATACTGCAGCTCCCCAACAATACTGTTGTCTCCCCCACAATACTGCAGCCTCCCCAACAATACTGTTGTCTCCCCAACAATACTATTGTCTCCCCCACATTACTACAGTCTCCCAACAATACTGTTGTCTCCCCCACAGGTGAGGTCTCACGGGTTTACCTACCTACCTGGACCTAGCTGGGGTCAACGCCCCCGCGACCCGGTCCACGACCAGGCGTCCTGGTGGACCAGAGCCTGACCAACAAGGCTGTTACTGCTGGCAGCACGTAGTACAACGTACGACCCACAGCCCGGCTGGTCAGGTACTGACTTGTTGGTAATCCTCCTTATGTGTATGCTGGGGGCTGTTGAACAGCCTTGGGCCCCTGACGCTTAGTGTTTCTTCTTAGTGTATTCATGGTGAGGGTGTGGTGGAGGATGTGGTGAGGGTGTGGTGGAGGATGTGGTGAGGGTGTGGTGGAGGATGTGGGGATGGGAGTTGTGGTGGGAGATGTGGTGAGGGTGTGGTTCTGGGGGTGTACCTGGAGAGAGTGAGGGGGTGGAAGGTGTGGTGGGGTGTGGTCCTAGGCATGTCCCAGGGGGTGCGCATGACGGGTCGACTAACCAGTATGTTAGTGATGGGGAGATGGTGGAAGAAAAGGTGTGGATATGTTTCTAGGGTGGGAAGTGAAGGACTGTGTGCGGAGCGTTAAACATGGAATGATGTGGTGGGGGGGTGGGGTTGGAGGGTGTGTGGGGGTGGTGAGGTGTGCTGGAGTGTGGTGAGGTGTGGTGAGGTGTGGTGGAGGATGGTGAGGGTGTGGTGGAGGATGTGGAGGATGTGGTGGGTGTGGGGAGGATGTGGTGGAGGGTGTGAGTGGGATGAGGTGTGGTGAGGTGTGGGGGAGGTGTGGTGAGGATGTGGTGAGGTGTGGTGGAGGATGCGAGGGTGTGCTGGAGGATTTGGGGAGGATGTGCTGGAGGATGTGGTGGAAGGGTGAGGTGTGGGAGATGTGGTGAGGTGTGGTGGAGGATGTGGGGAGGTGGGGGTGGAGGATTGTGAGGGTGTGTGGAGGATGTGGTGAGGTGTGTGGAAAATGTGGTGAGGGTGTGGTGGAAGGGTGTGGTGAGGGTGTGGTGGAGGATTGGTGGGGGTGTGGTGGAGGATGTTGGTGAGGGTGTGGTGGAAGATGTTGTGAGGTTGTGGTGGGAAAATGTGGTGAGGTGTGGATGGAAGATGTGGTGAGGGTGTGGAGGAGGATGTGGTGAGGGTGTGGTGGAGATGTTGAATGCACGAGTATGATTGGAAGTGTAGTGTGCCCACGGGGTCAGGGGTTTAGTCACAGCTCTGTGTGGTGTGTGTGTGGTGTGTGTGGTGAGGTATGGTGGGTGTGGCGGTGTCACATTTGTTTTGATGTGCTAAGGGATTGGAGCGATGTGAAGCTATTGAGCTTGTGAGTTCGTGTCAGTGTGTCTTGTGGGGGTGTCATGGTGTCTTGTGGTTGTAGGTGGTGTCTTGTGGGTGTGTCATGTTCTTTGTGTGTCAGTGTGTTGTGGTTGTGGGTGTTGTCTTGTGGTGTGTCAGTGTGTTTTTGTGGGTGTGTCAGTGTGTCTTGTGGTGTGTGTCTTGTGGGTGTGGGCTTGTGGGTGTGTGTGTGTGTCTTGTGGTGTGTCAGTGTGTCTTGTGTGTGTGGTGTGTGTGTCAGTGTGGTTTGTGGGTGTGTGTGTCTTGTGGTGTGTGTCTTGTGGTGTGTCATGTGGTTGTGGGTGTTGTTGTCTTGTGGTTGTGGGGTGTGTCTTGGTGCGTCATGTGTCTTGTGGGGGTGGGTGTGTGTCTTGTGTGTGTGTCTTGTGGGTGTTCAGTGTGTCTTGTGGGTGTGTCATGTGTCTTGTGGGTTGTGGGTGTGTCATGTGTCTTGTGGTGTGTGTGTGTCTTGTGGGTGTGGTGTGTGTCTTGTGGGTGTGTCAGTGTGTCTTGTTGGTGTGGTGATGTGTCTTTGGGGGGGTGGGGGGTGTGGTCTTGTGGGGGTGGTGTGTGCTTGTGGTGTGGGGTGTGTCTTTTGGGTGTGTGTGTGTCTTGTTTGGTGTGGGTGTGTCTTGTGGGTGTGTCAGTGTGTCTTGTGGGTGTGTCAGTGTGTCTTGTGGTGTGTCAGTGTGTCTTGTGGGTGTGTCAGTGTATCATGTGGGTGTCAGTGTATCCGTGGGTTGTCAGTGTGTCTTGTGGTGTGTCAGTGTATCCTGTGGGTGTGTCAGTGTCTTGTGGGTGTGTCTTGTGGGTGTGTGTGTGTCTTGTGGGTGTGTCTGTATCATTGGTATGTGATCCTTTTGGGTGTGTCAGTGTATCCTGTGGGTGTGTCAGTAATCCTTGGGTGTGGGCAGTGTATCCTGTGGGTGTGTCATGTATCCTGTGGGTGTGTCGTGTATCCTTGGGTGTGCAGTGTGTCTGTGTTTTCTTGTGGGTGGTCAGTGTATCCTGTGGTGTGTCAGGTGTATCTTGTGGGTGTGGTCGTGTATCCTGTGGGTGTGTCAGTGTATCCTTGGGGTTGGGCAGTGGTCCTGTGGGTGTCAGTGAATCTGTGGGTGTGTCATGTATGCCTGGGTGTACACAAAGCGTCGCATGATGGATCGTGAGTCTTGTGGGTTTTGTCAGTGTATGCTGGGGTGTACACACAAGCGCCGCATGATGGATCGTGAGTCTTGTGGGTGTGTCAGTTTATGCTGGTGTACACACAAGCGCCGAATGATGGATCGTGAATCTTGTGGGTGTGTCAGTGTATGCTGTGGTGTACACACAAGCGCCGCATGATGGGATCGTGATGTCTTGTGGGTGTGTCAGTGTATCCTGTGGGTGGTACACACAGCGCCGCATGGGTGGATCAGTGAGTCTTGTGGGTGTGGGCAGTGTATGCTGTGGTGTACACACAAGCGCCGCATGATGGATCGTGAGTCTTGTGGGTGTGTCAGTGTATGCTGGGGTGTACACACAAGCGCCGCATGATGGATCGTGAGTCTTGTGGGTGTGTCAGTGTATGCTGTGGTGTACACACAAGCGCCGCATGATGGATCGTGAGTCTTGTGGGTGTGTCAGTGTATGCTGGGGTGTACACACAAGCGCCGCATGATGGATCGTGAGTCTTGTGGGTGTGTCAGTGTAAAGGGTTTGGGGGGTACACACAAGCGCCGCATGATGGATCGTGAGTCTTGTGGGTGTGTCAGTGTATGCTGGGGTGTACACACAAGCGCCGCATGATGGATCGTGAGTCTTGTGGGTGTGTCAGTTTTTATGCTGGGGTTACACACAAGCGCCGCATGATGGATCGTGAGTCTTGTGGGTGTGTCAGTGTATCTGGGGTGTACACACAAGCGCCGCATGATGAAGATCGGAGGTCTTGTGGGTGTCAGTGTATGCTGGGGTGTACACACAAGCCCGCATGATTTGGGTCGTGAGTCTTGTGGGTGTGTCAGTGAAGCTGGGGTGTACACACAACGCCGCATGATGATCGTGAGTCTTGTGGGTGGTCAGTGTATGCTGGGTGTACACACAAGCGCCGCACTGATGGATCGTGAGTCTTGTACAGGTGTCATGATGCTACAGTTAACACAAGTCATGTGAAGATTTTGTGATGGCAGAGCATGTCAGTAAACAACCGATGATGGTATCTAGTTTTCATGGGTGTGTCAGATGTAGCTGTGTACTTCAAGCGCTCGCTAATTAGGATCGTTGGTCTGCTACCAGGTCCCACTTGTACGTTTTAATGCGTCTTGAAGTGATAGTCAGAAATGCAAGTCGAAGTTACGAGATCTTTGTCAATAAGGTATAACAGGTGGGATACGTAGGAATTAGGGATTGCTGTAGTCCACTTTAGGAAGACGTTCAGAACAGCAGGGAGAACAGAAAACGTGGGAAAAGTTTGTAATAAAGGAAAGATAGCAGTAACAAATATGTAATGTGAGGAATATTTGTCAGCTTAGAAAGATGGTTAACCAAACGCTAGGAAAAGAAACGTGGCACTTGACAAGGCCCAGACTGTAACGTTTACTAATATGTCCTGGTGTTTCGATTAACTGTGTTTTCTAAAACAATTTGTCGGCTATCTTTTCACCAAGATTTGTCAGGAAACAGATGTAGGTGCGTGGACAATAAGAGAACCCGTATCAACATCCGGGGTCCCAGACTATTCAACATCTTACCAGAAGATATCAGAAACACTGCTGGAACAAGTGTTTAAGCCTTCAAGAGGAAACTAGACAAGTATCTTCACCAGGTGCCAGATCAACCAAGCTGTGATGGATATGTGTGGCAGGGGGCCTCCAGCAGCAACAGCCTGGTTGACCAGGCAAGCACCAGACGAACCTGGCCCATGGCCGGGCTCAGAGTAGAGAAACTGTCGAAACTCTTCTAAGGTATATGTAAGGTAAGTGTTTCCTAACGCTGGTTTTAGTTATATGATGACCCGCAGCTTTTGATCATCTGACCGAGGCCTTCCACTGGCTTACCTCTCCACCACTTTAAAATTATGGTTATGATGGCAAGCACTGTTGTGTCGCCATTGTGTGTACCGCCGCTTGTATCGCCAGTGTGTGTATCGCCGCTTGTATCGCCAGTGTGTGTATCGCCGCTTGTATCGCCAGTGTGTGTATCGCCGCTTGTGTCACCAGACAGCGTGTGTACCGTCGCTTGTGTCGCCAGACAGTGTGTACCGCCGCTTGTGTCGCCAGACAGTGTGTGTACTGTCGCTTGTGTCACCAGTGTGTGCACCACCACTTGTGTCGCCAGACAGTGTGTGTACTGCCGCTTGTGTCACCAGTGTGTGTACCGCCGCTCGTGTCGCCAGACAGTGTGTGTACCGCCGCTTGTGTCGCCAGACATTGTGTGTACCGCCGCTTGTGTCGCCAGACAGTGTGTATACCACCGCTTGTGTCGCCAGACAGTGTGTGTACTGTCGCTTGTGTCACCAGTGTGTGCACCACCACTTGTGTCGCCAGACAGTGTGTGTACTGCCGCTTGTGTCACCAGTGTGTGTACCGCCGCTCGTGTCGCCAGACAGTGTGTGTACCGCCGCTTGTGTCGCCAGTGTTTGTACCGCCGCTTGTGTCGCCAGAGTGTGTACCACCGCTTGTGTCGCCAGACTGTGTGTGTACCGCCGCTTGTGTCGCCAGACTGTGTGTACCGCCGCTTGTGTCGCCAGTGTTTGTACCGCCGCTTGTGTCGCCAGTGTGTGTACCACCGCTTGTGTCGCCAGACAGTGTGTGTACCGCCGCTTGTGTCGCCAGACAGTGTGTGTACCGCCGCTTGTGTCACCAGTGTGTACCGCCGCTTGTG